ACTGGTAAAGAAAAAACTCTTATAAAGCAGTGAAAAAAAAAAAAGATATATTACATAAAAACATAAACTCACAAAATAGCTAACAATTACAGTTGGCCCTCTGCATCTATGGGTTTCACATCCATGGATTTAAATGACTGCAGACTGAAAATATTTAAGGAAAAAAAACTCAGTCCCAAGAAGCAAATTTTGAATTTACCAGGTGCTAAATATTATGATGAATCCACGTGAACGAGGTAATATGTAGGTATTGTATTAGGTATTATAAGTAATCTAGAGATGATTGAAAGACTATAGAAGGATGTGTGTAGATGTAACCTACTAGGCCAAATATACCACGTATTATCAGGGACGTGAGTGTTTGTGGACTTTGGTATCCATGGAAGGGTCCTGGAACCAGTCCTTTATGGATACTGAGAGATGACTGTACTTGTCAGTCCAGATGAAGTCACCTCAAGTTTTTCTAAAATAGAATCTGATTTCAAAACAAAAACGAAAACAAATTTTAAAAACCTCAGGAATGTGTCTACAATACTAATATTCCAACCACGGATCCTGAAGTACTAATTCACTCAACGAATCCGACTTCCACATGTGAGGCTCCATGCTGTAAGAGAGGGAATCTGTACAAGAAGGGGACAGAGGGAAATCCTGGCCGTAAGGGTCTTGAAGGTTAATTGTTTACAGAAGGAAAAAGTTGCACATATCATCAGGTACAGATAAAGTAACTGAGTTCTGAGGAAGGAAATGACTTTAGCCAGGGGAACCACAGAGGTTATTAGAAGTGACATGTGAGCATGGCTCTGAATGACTGACAGGGTCTCTGAGGCCAACATCATTCACTTAATGTAGCTCACTGAGGTTTTTGGTCTGCTCTCTGGCACTATCTTGAGAAGAAAGGAAGTATTTCCACATGGATACTGACGTGGGTTCTCCTGTTCCAGGCTCACCCCACCAGACAAGCCCCCATCATTACCCGTGAGATTGGCCGCCATCTCTTCAGCAGTCTGTGACAGCCGCAGTCCTTGTTTCAGGGGACCATCTGAGTCCACATACTGCCGGCGTTTGAGGTAGCAGGACACTGCCATCTGAATCTGCTCGGTACGCACTCGTTTCATGACCTTCGAGGGAGGCAACCACAGGACGCAGAGACATCAGGGGCCGGGGAAGCAACCCATCCAACTGCACCATTGCAGATGGATAGGATACGTGGTAGAGGAAGACCAGCCACGTGGCTAAGTGGCCCAGTAAAGATGCAAATCTAAGTTCCCTAATACCAATGTGGTATAGGCTTCCATTTTGTCTGTTTCTCCAATAACAATACAGCCAACTTCAATTACAGAAAATAGGAAAAGCATCGATAATAAAGTCCTTAGATCACCCCCCAAACTGTTTAATACCAAGATTCCAATCAGCCCCATGAAACTTTTCATTAGAGAAGCTAACAAAAAGCAAACAGGGTCAGTTTGAAATTTAGGGCCTTTGATTTCTCCTGCCTACTCTGTGAGAGAGGTGTTAATTAGCAGTGAACCAGCCAAAAAAGCAGGCAGGAGGCAGTACGAAATCAAAGACCACAGAAACTAGATAAATAGATGTTAACAAAGTATGAAGTTAACAATGGTGAAGGGGGTTGTGATATTTTTTCGTAATAGCAAGGAAAAGGCTGCCAGCTCTAAGTTGGGGATTTGCAAAATGTGTTTTCATTTTAATTGTATACTATTATTTACCTTTTTCACTCTTTATTTAAAGCACAGGTACAGAAAGGAAGCACAATACTAAAAGAATTTGTATATGTGTTAGTATATGTCTCATAAATTCCTGTAAGAAAGGAAAGTGGTAGGAAGTGACCTAAACAGAAGTAAATTATTTTTGAATAATTCAAGCTAATTTGTGGGTTCACATAAAGAAAAAGAAAAAAAGAGAGGCATTGTTTCCTTTGACTATTGAGTTTATCAAGAACAACAGAAGCCCTGAGTATTGCCACAGCCTCAAACATTACTTTGCCAGAAATAAAAAGTCCAGATGACCAATGACAGCTGGATGAATTTTGTGGGTTCACTTTTGTCATGTAAAACAAACATTCCCTTCCAGGACCAAAATATGGTGTCCATTTTGGAATGCATTTCACATACCCATACACACACAATCATCCCAACCAAAGTAACATTCTCTAAATCAAGGTTTCCCAGTTGTTTTATGTGGGAGATCTGTTTTTGATCATTTATTTGGATGTGTTTAAGTTTTCAGTTTCAGTTACATGCATTTGAATTTTCCTTTGAGAGTTCTTCCATTCTTTCTTTTTTGAGACAGTGTCTTGCTCTGTTGCCCAGGCTGGAGTACAGTGGCAAGATCTCAGCTCACTGAAACCTCCGCTTCCTGGGTTCAGGTGATTCTCCTGCCTCAGCCTCCTGAGTAGCTGGGATTACAGGCCCATGCTACCATGCCTGGCTAATTTTTCTATTTTTAGTAGAGACAGGGTTTCACCATGTTGGCCAGGCTGGTCTTGAACTCCTTACCTCAAGTGACCTGCCTGCCTTGGCCTCCCAAAGTGTTGGAATTACAGGTGTGAGCCACAATGCCCAGCCCTTCCATTCTTTTTTAAGATATAAAATTCCCCCTTTTCCAGAAATCTGTTATTTATTTATTTTCACTGTTATTTTTTTTTTTTAGTAGAGAGGGGGTTTTGGTATGTTGCCCAGGGTGGTCTCAAACTCCTGGGCTCAAGCAATTCTCCCACCTCAGTCTCCCAAAGTGTTGGGATTAGAGGCATGAGCTACCACGCCTGGTGTTATTTTTCTATAAACATAAAAAAAATTATTTGTATCTAATTTTCATCCATCTGCAGTTTCTTTTAGTGTATGATATGTGGTGAATAAGCAAACAAATGTTTTGCCCAGTGACTACAGCTTACATACTGTCCCAACACCACTTGCAAATAATTATTTCCTTCTAAAGTGATTTGTGGGAGCCCTTTACAAATATACTCTGAAGACCTACTCTTCAATTCCCTACAAATTATACAACAGAACAATCTGTGAAGGCTAGAGACATACTCACAAGTATACATACGTATAAATATAAAATGTTAGGACATATATATTTTAAACTATATGCACAGAAAGATTACATTATCTGTGCATTTTATTTCTAGATTGCCAAAGAGTTAAAATATTTGTTACACAGAAGGGGTGCTAGGTCTGTGATTGTTAAAAAGAAGGAACACTGTGGTTGTGAATCAGTGACATAATGAAACACAATAATAAATTTCCATATACTGAACTCTCCTCACTATGAAATTTACCTTGGTTGGGTATGGTATATTATCCTTTCGCTGTATTGATGGCTTAGGTTACTTTTTAATTGGGCTTTTTTTTAATTGCTAAAACAGGGATTCCGATACTTTGACAGCGGGGTCCCTGCTCCATTATCTGTGGCCACTGATCAGCACTACTCTATCAATGATCCTCCAACCTGGCTATACATAAGAATCCCCTGCGAGTGTGTGAATATGTATACATCATTTCAGCTCTGCAGATTCCAGCTCAGTGTTATATTTAGAGGAAAAAAATTAAATGCACACAGAGGCTGTGACAGTACTGCCCTTTCCCAGTGTGGCCCAAAGTCAAGACAAGTCAGTCCAACCAGTGCCTTTTCCCATCACCTAACTTCAAGAGCTCCTAGTCTGCAGACATTCCCAAACAAGCCCAATTCCCTACTCTAGCTGAGACTGAAACCTTTCTGGCTTCCACACTGCCAATCTTTTGCTGATTTGGGAACGGATACACATTTTAATGTATGTCCATTTGCATTCAAGTCAGATGGGACTGGATCTACCAGTTCGCCTCTGACAGGAAAAAACCCTGTGTGTGAAGGACATGAAAATGACTGATCAGGGAAAACAGACCCAGCGATGTCACAGTGTCTTCAAGGTGGGACAATATACATATGTGTCTTAGGAGGAAGGGAAAAGATGTGAAGTTACTAAAGAGTAAACAGAACGGAGTAAGAATGAATGATAGTCAACACGGATCATATTTAAGATTGCTAGACGCTAGTTTGTAACAATGAGTCTAACAAATGTGCTTAAATTAGCTGCCCCAAATAGCAGTTTCTCTGAGTCCAAACCACCATTTATGATAAGGGAGCTTCCCTGATGGTGGACAGTGAGCCAACTATAGGGCCATGGATCTTAAGGGCAGGAATTCTGGCAGTGACGCTCTTGCGTAACCACACTGAACTCAAATACTAGAGACACGACCCAATCAACTTAGCTGGGTTTTATTCCAGTATACACATATTTCAAGTGACATGGATAATTAATGAACCTGAGAGAAGTCGGTCCCCTCTACCCAGATTGATTTCCAGACTACTAATATCCAAAAAGGGATATGTGAAGAAAAACTCTCTTTAAACTAGACCGAAGTCTCGAGAGACTAATACATGAGATGAACACTGCAATTTTGTTACCTGCCTAGCTTTTCCTATAATTATGACATTTTTCAAACTTAAATTGGGTTTAGATATAATTATGCTTTGTTAACATTTCAGAATTTCTCATAATTTTCAATTTATATAAAATACTTAACTTTCGGAGGTAAAAACAGATATCAAATACTCTGCTCTTCACATCACATTATTAGTATTTCTGGAAATCAAAAGAATTCTGAGAGGATGTATACCTATCTATTCTCATATATTAACAGTTGCCAGATACTTCATCAACAAAGTTGCTACAGAAAATCCCACATGATCATTTCAATGTAACAACTATGCAGGGAAAACCACAGCCACACTTAACATTCAACTACAGAAATATGGGGAGGTGGAGATACACGGAACCCTGGTACACCTTAAGATGCGATCAGTGTGGAACTCTAGTCTGGTCAATCTCTTCAGTGGTTACATGCTGCATCCTACTCCTCCACCCCCACTCACCTTAGGCTCTAACGTACGTGGTGGGTAGAAGAGTGCCGGGAGGTACCCTCACCCACCACGTCACAGGTTAAAGTACTACATAGTTCCATGAAATGCCAAAAGAATACTACCTGTCTCCCCCATCCCTCCCCCTGCCTCAATAAGGTGGCAGCTTTGAGTAGGGGTGAGTTCAAGATAAATTCAGGCAAACTCACTACACAAACCTCAAATCAGCTCTTCAACTGAGGCTTCTGACCACTGGCCACTGTTTTTTTTGAGTAACTATTTTTTTCCAATAGTAAGTCTATGCTTAAAACAGATGAAAAAAAATATTTTTGTATTTTTGTAAGGCATCTACTAGGTACCTCAAGTTATTAGTTCTCTTCACTCAACAGTAACGAAAGGGTTGTAATACTTTTCAAAAAAATCAGTCTAAGTAGGACCTAAAACTCTAGCTTTGCATTAATCATCATGATAAAGTGTATTCAATTAGCTTTGTGAAAATATAAATCACAGCTGAAAAATAAATGAACCATACTACTTTCAGTTTTAGTCATGGCTCATAGAATTTAAAAATTATGATAGCCTTTCATATTCAATCTTTGCTCAGACTATCAGAAATACACTTGAACTGGAAGCTGTGTTTTTTCCCATGGTGTCCTAAGAAATAAAATGGCACATGAATAAGGTCATAGCTGTGGCTCAGGATGCAGTGAAGAATGTGGAGTTTTGGTGGGGATGGCAGCAGCGGTAGAAAGCAGGTGGAACTCATGAAATCCAGCAAACAGATGTCATGAGAAATGAATTTTCTCCAACATCAGCTGGGACCTCCATGATTTTCCAAAAGTCTTGTTTCATCAACTACTTACCCTAGAGCCTTCCACCTATGCTATTCTGAACCTTCACCAGTCTCCTCACCCAGCCAGTGGACCCTGCTTCTGACCTCAGTGGGCTACTGAGACTTGGGTTCTTTAACGCTTGTCTCATCTAACTGGTCACTTTCCAGCACCACCCTTCATGATCTCTCAGCTGGATGTGATGCTGCTGAACTCACCTCCTACTTGAAACTCTTTTGGCCTCTCCCACCGCAAGCCTCTCTGGTGGCTCTTCCCTCCCATTTCTGTCTGCTGCTGCTTCTCTGCTTTCCCTACTTCATCTCACCACTTACGCAAGACTTACAGTCAGACCACCTTCCTGAACTCAGTCG